TATAAAATGTCAGTTATATTTTATTGTTTGGATATGATTGATTATTAGTTTGTTTTGTTGATTATTTGATTGTCATTCTAATATATTATAACTTACGATTTTTTAAAATAACAATGAACAAAAAAAATATAAAATGTCTATTTTTTTAATTTATGAAATAAACTTCAATTAAATCAAATCAACACAACATGTATTATATGATAAAGTTATTATATATTATTAATATAACAACAATTATTGTTACAGTAAAACCTCCCAAAAGCGGGAGGGCGTGGTAATTTTGTTCTCTCAAGAGCGGGCATTTTTAGCCAATCAAACCTTAAAAACTGCTTGATAGAGAACTCTATTTATAGTTTCAGTCTAAAAAATGCTCGCTCTTGAGAGAACCCGCTCTTCAGAGGTACCGCTCTTGGGTGGTTTTACTGTATTTGTAATTAAAAACCATTACACATTTACTATAAAATAATGTTAAATATTTTATATGCTCTTTTTAACGTTATATTTGATAAATTACAATACAAACCGAAAGCATACATTTTTTAAAATAATAAACTTTAAAACTATTTCAAACTAAGTAAGTTATACATGAAATGGTATTATCTATCGTTTATGACAATTTTAATGTCGATATTTAACACATAATAACATATAGCTAATAGCCAAACAAACAATACAAACAATCGAGAGACTCTATTGTACGAGAATTGATATCATAATACTGATTTGGAAAAAAATTTTAATTAGTTTTAAAATGTTATAACCGATGTTAATGTTTATCATGAAGACGCCAGTGCTGTTTTGAATTATATCAAAGATTTTTTTCAATACAAATAATGAACATAAGCAAAATGTCCAAAAATAGACATAAAATAGTATATAAGCATTAATTCACTAATTCCACATTTTGTTATTTAAATAGTAATAGAAAAACAAAATTGTAATTTAGAAATTTATTTTTGTAGCCACTTTAACGCAAAAAAACTTAATTGACTACAAATGATACAACTAAGAAATTTTCACTTTAGAAGGTTTAAAAGATATAAACAAAATAAACAAAAAAATTATTATTATCACTTTTAATGAAGTTGTACGAAATTCAATTTATATAAAATTGGTAAATTTCGAGTTTTTTTAAATGTTTATCCATTTTTATAAATTTATATTAAATGCATTACATTACACAATCCATAAAGCAAAATCATCTGATATTTAAATTAATATCTAGGGATGAAGTAAAATCCATTTCACCTGTTTACCAAAAAAGAGAAAAAATTGGTAAAATAATTCACCAATTTACGATCTTAAAGATCCCTATATTTTAAATAACATTTTTATTAAAAAACAAATAAGTAATAACATTTTGCATTTTCATCAATTTTAATTTAATTATAAAGTTTTTTGATATTTGCCAACATTTAATTATTATTGCAATTGATGTTAAAAAAATGAATAAAAAAACAAAAAAGAACAAAAAAATCCAACAATAACCAATATCATCAAATTATTTTTTTGAAAAAAAAACAATTCAAATGTTACTTTTGTTGTTTTTTAATTAATTCAAACGTGTTTGATGAAAAATATTTATATTTCATCGTAAGTTGATACGTTAATACAAGTGAAAACAACATAAAAAATAACAAAATTTTATTTTAGATTCGACAAACAAATTAGTATTATTATATGACGCACATTATAAAAACGATTGGCATTTTTTGTTTAAAATTATTAATTATCATTTACTATTGTATATCATTTTAAAATTGACGACTATTCTTATCAATCAATGTAATTAAAAGAATCATAGATTGTATGTAAGTAATATTTTATTATTGTTTTTGTACTT